TTAAGGGGGACTATAAGGGTTTACAGTGTAGGGGCTTAGGTAGGCTTAGGGGTGTAGGGTTCAGGATGGAAGGCACTTGTGGGGCACCGAAGCTCCTAGATTCTAGGTATTTTGTGGAAAGTACTTAGGGACCTCTAGCATACCCCCAAAACTCTTCGGATATCTGTCTAGCACAGGCCCCTAATTGTTGAGTTGCTTTGCCCAAAAAAATCAACATTCCAGCTCTAGTGGTTATGAAGCTGTGCAGATAAGCAACTTTGAACATCTTACAACTGGCTCACACGCAAACGGGGATCTGGGGATGCTAACTTCATTGAACTTCGTGAAACAAAGATTGCACCATGGTCCATCTCGGACTGTGCGTGGGTGGGCATACCCAACAGCACCGTAAGGTTGCTTCAGCCTCCTAAGCGTGGTTCCAGCCTTGTCTGCCAGTCTGCCATTGGCTTCGCAGCTGCACCCGAAGTCGGAAATCTTCAGCATGGCTCACTTCACTTTCGCAGCTTGAACAGAGGCTGCCACAGCCTGCACCAGCAGTTCTGGAAGTCGACGGCTGCCATCGGACAGTTCGAAGTTGGAATTCGAATGTTTCAGCTTGATACCTTGGAGCTGCTTCTGAATGACATTTGGAATCTCCAACGCTTTGGCGGCCGCTTTGCTTGTTGCCTTGATGTAGGCGTCTCCGTTATAAACCTTGCGGCGTTTTGGCTACTTTGTGAAGGAGCAGGGAAAGCGCTACGGCAGCTGACGCGGCTGAGCACCACTCCTTGATAAGATGTATCTGAATGGGAGGCCAGAACTAACAACTAGAAGACTGAACTGGCATTATTGGAGTGCCACTATTGGAGAGAAAGCAGTTACAGAGCTGCTTTAGAGCACGACCATTATCAAAGCAGTGCTCCTCCTGACCCCTATCCAACCCCCTGTGGCCGTGTCAAAAGCGGGTTGATTGATGCATATGATAGTGTAACAAAACTCCCCAACGATAGTCCTTTGTACAGACCCTGCGGCAATCCTGTTGCAATCTATATTCCTTTGGTTCCTAAGAGTCCCTTATCTTGAGAAACGCTCAACCCTAATACCTAAGCCTAAGACTCTATGACCTTATGTGTCCCACTATCTGGCACAACCTACACAGACTACAAACAAGATCTCATAATCCATGTTAAAGGGCCCTGATAGACGAGACATAGTTTCCTGACAAAATCAATTTGACAGCCAGGACTCTTCGTGGGGCGTGGGAACGGTTTGCGCACGCCGTCCTGTGATTTCCGGAACGGAGTTGCCAATTAACGAGCCTATATCGGTGGGACTATATGCCGGTATGTGGGAATCACCTATATAAAGGGCATGCAAGCTACACAAGGCTAATGTCATGAGGCCCCCGCCTTCTTGAGAAGCCCTGAACCCTGCACTAAATTTAATACCTAAATCTAAGGTTGAAACCATGGGCCCCTGGTACGGGCCCTTAAGCCTAGGATCCTTACGTACCTACTACACAGCCTAAATGTACCCCGAAGAGTCCCTAGAATCCCCCTCACAAGCCTAAGGACCCCAGGACCGCTTGCTATGGGCCTATACTTCCAACCTCGAAGTCTGAGCACCCTACACCGTGCATACCTACGTGCTTGAAGACAACTGGCTTGTACCGAACCTGGAATCTACCTTCAAACTTGAAGCAGAATTCTGAAACACCCTGCTATAGGCCTTGTAATCGTACGCAGTCGTAGTCTTTGTGCCCATTATTTCGGGGTAGAAAGACCATTGATGATACTATGATTGCTTTTGCTGTTGCAACTGTCATTATTACCATTGCCACCTTTCACAATTCTTGTTGTTATCATTATCCTAAACCCTACGCCCTAAGCCCCTAAACTTTAAATCATTATCAAGGATTTTGGGGAGCTCGAGGTAAGTCCTTGCGGATGACGGGCGCGCACGAAGCCCCAAAAGCCACCATTGACCCAGATCCATACATCAAAGTCAACTAAACTTCAACGCCTGAAGCCTTTCAACACAAACCTCTAAGCCCTAAATTCCGAACCCCAGGCACTAAACTCTAAACCCTACACCCTCACCCTATATATTCTCATACATCCCTACATATATAAATCCTCATAAGCCCCTGTTTAAACCGAACCGAACATGCTAAACCCTAACCCTAAACTCTGAACCCTGGATCCTAAGCCGTAAACTCCCAAACCAAAACCCTTAGACCCTAAACCCTAAACTCTACTAAACAATGAAATCATAAACCCTAAGCCTAGACCCTCCTTGAAGATGACGGGCTTGTAGAGGTCCGGGACCGCTCTGTGCATTACCGGACTATTCCGATAACGCTCCACGTGGGCCTTACAGGCTGAGGCTCACGGATAAGGGTGGTTGAGGGTTTTTGGGTTTAGGGTTCAGGGTTTAGGGTTGAGGGTTTAGCGGTTAGCGTTTGAGAACTATCCTGAGATCCAAATTTAGGGGTCGGGGGAAAGGTTTAGGGTTTAGGGGTCAAGGAGTTAGGGCTGCAAACATTATGTAGAATGATCGAATCTGTTGTCTATTTTAAGGTTTTACCATTATTTTCCCACTTTGCTAGATTTACTGTTTGGTATTGCATTGGAAAAATCATCATTCGGGGGTGGGGGGGGGGCAGTTGATCTTTACGGCGAGGGGTTTGTGACCTGGGTACTGTAGGGGCATATGATGGTCATGGTCCTAAATTCTTTGTATAACTGCAGTACAGGGTTCCTCAAATGGACCTCAAAATTAATTATATTGGCAATTATCAAGGTGCCTACATTATATTCGAGAATGGGATCCTCCTAGCATACCGCAGCACAATATAATCTTACTAAAAGGACACCACTAAGGGACCCCTAACTTGTACAAACCCCCACTTGCACGTTTGCTTCCAGAAGCCCTAATCCTACATCCCACACCCCACATACAGCATAAGCCTTTTACAAAACTATTTGACCAACACGCGCAATCCATGGGTCTGCGTCCCTATACCCTCAACCCTAAGCCCGATGTATCCTGTAAGCCTTTTACAAGGGCGTTGTTCTACCTCACTTCTGTCAATGCCGGCCTTGAATCCCTGATGGGGGCCGCTCCACCGAACTTGGCAGACCTGCGACAAATTTGCTTAGGGCTTAGGTTTTAGCTACGGTGCAGGCTTAATCCTCTCCCCCTAATATTAAACCTCNNCCTAATATCAAATACTCCCCATGGTAGTATTTTATCGTATATTGGGCATATCTAATATTAAGGAGGGTTGGGTAGTTTACTATTAGGGGGAGGGGACTAGGCCTCAGGATTCAGACAGTCGGAAGGGAAATGGCTAAGGAAGGGAAGGGCATGCGCAGGACTGGAGCACGTGTTGCAAAGCTTTGTATTTGTGGGGGCATGCCATGTCTGCGGCGCACCGGACCAATCGTTCTCAACAAATGCATCTTTCTCTCCAAAAGGGAACTTTCAGGTGGGGGGGTTATCAGATTGGTACCCACACAGAAGGCTCAGAGCAGGATCGTAGAATGCAAATAAGCGCTATGTAAGGCCTGAATGGCGGGAAGTACCCACCTGAAGTTTTCTCATATCTTCTCCACTGGCGCAACAGAACGAATCCTGTGCAAAGCTGGGAGAGCTTCAAGGAGTGGACAAACAATAGGTTTCCCTAAGGGTCCAAGGA